AAAACTGTAATATATAAATATTTCTATTTGAATATATATATATATATATATATATATATATATATATGCATGTCAATATATCCCCTGTGATTCAAAGCTACATTTTTAAATACTTATATGCTGATATGTTGCTCTTGTGATCTGTGGTCTTAATGGTCTTATTACTGTCAATGTTTAAAATATTTTTTTTCTATATTAAAAAAATGATCATTGTTGCCATATTACTATATGCAATATCTGTACTGAAAATATACAAAAAATAATAAAAAAATAAATAAATAAACAAAAACAAATTTTGCATCAATATTTGCATCAATATATTCAAGTTACGACAGCATCTAAAAAAATGAAGTTTAGACAACAAACTTAATTGTTAGCCAATTACCTTTTCCTTTTCAAAAATCAGAGGCATTTTTACATAGCATAAACTCAGTTCTTAAGTCGAGTACTTAAAAATTAAGTTGATTCAACTAGTTTTTTTAATTAAAATTTAAAACAAATTCAGTGCTATGTACTTACTTGGAAGTTTTCAAGTTAAGAATCTCCAATAAATTAAGTAGCTAAAATTGTTTAATTCCTTGTTTGTTTTTAAATAGTTTGTTTTCATTTAGTTGCTTGTAAGAAATGTATTTAACAACAATTGTGTTTTCCTGTAATTGTTTATTTGTTTTAAAAAACAGATTTTTATTTTTTTTACAAACAAAACATTTACTGTCCAATTAAAAACAGTATCAAAAATAACAAAAAAACTTCAATGTGTGGACTTAAAATTACAAAACAACTCCATTAGTGTTGAAAAATTAGTTATCTACCCAATTTCTTTGGGTTGCTACAAGTTAAATGTTGTTTTAAACTAATTGACAGATATATTTACCTTTAAATTAGTCACATTTTTAGTTGACACAATTATCCCTATTTTCCTGTTTTTAAAACAATATAATTATTCTGGCAACTTAAAAGTTTTAATCTAATCAGAAATTTAGATTTTTTTAAGTTAAAACAATGAATTATACTGTGCATTGGTTTTAAGTCTTGAGTGCAGGGGGCTAAACTAAATTTAATATTGATTTATTTATTGGTTTGTTTGTTTGTTTGTCTATTTATTTATTCAATCTTGTTTATCAAAATTTGACCAGTCAAATAAAACCTTACTGTCTTTATACTGCCTCCCCAATAGTTATATTTGTAGAAATATTTGAATCTGAATTAGATTTAGTTACCTGTTTATTTTACCATGATCTTTACTTGAACAAATAATTAAAAAACGAATCAGAATAGCATTTCTCTGGGGAATGTTTTTATGTTTATCTCAATAAATACTGTTAAAGACCATTTCAGTGTGGTCATGTCATTGGCCCATAAACATTTCCTGCTTGCTATTAAGCTACGAGGCAATTCAATCATAATTCAATGTTAAAACAGCTATCATAACATTATTTATTAATATATGTTTTTAAAAATTTGAATTTAATGTGTAATTGATGATTAAATGTTGTTTTTGAAATGATACAATTGAATATATCACAGTTTTCACAGAAATATGAAGCTTCACAATGCAGTTTTACATTGATAATGTCCAGAAATTCCTGCACATTTGAGGATTTCTGATGGATCATATGACACTGTGGACTAGAGAAATAATTGCTGAAAATTCAACTTTGGGTCACAGGAATAAATGACACTTCAAAATATGTCCACATAGAAGTCAGATGCAATAATTATTTGTTTTATTGTATTTTTGATCAAATACAATCAGCAGTGTGCAGAAGACACTTTAAAACTTTCTAGACTTTCATCTAATGAAAAATATCTGTTCAACCCTTTAAGGTGCACTCAAAATTTTGGGCCCACATCTTGCATTGAATAATAAACTGACACAACTCTGATAAATAGTAAGCAATTAAAATAATAGTAATAGCCTATAGATAAATGGTCAACCAGGTGTTTACGATGCTTTATGTTCAATCAACTTAATCTATTTGTGTGTATCCGACAAAGCAGGTCATCAGAATATTTCTATGCACTGATTTCTGATTAGAATAACAGCCTAGAATTGGCTTAATATCTGAATAAATAATGACTTTCAATATTACGATTCATTTAAAGTAGTACAAAGACATGCATTGTAGCATTTTAAAATCCTGTAATCCCTTTTTTTTTGTTCCCAAAACGTCATGCTTGGTGTGAATAGGCTTTAATTTATCAGATAAACCTGCTTTGTGGTCTCACTGCTGCAACACTGACTCACATGTCCAAAGTCAAGCTTGGGAATTCCTCACTTTCAGACAACTGTGTGAACGCCATCACCGTCCCACTCACATGACAGATCAACTTTCTCTCCTCCCATGTCCTTCTCGCGCCCTGTCCCGAGCAGGTGGGGGGAATGACTGGAGGTGATAGAAAGAGCTTTTGGGTCAGTTTCTTCCCCATAACAGACCCAGTAATTTGGACCAAGCACTGATTTCTGCAGGCTAAGAAAAGCTCCACAAAAAGAGGGAAAGAAAAGAGGAGAAAACAATGGGATGAAAGTAGAGAGGGAGGTACTGTGGGTAATGGAGGGGGCGTGAAATAAGGGAACTGACCAAAGACTGTTATTAGCCAAAGTAGCTTCTCCCCACCTCTTCAATGAAATCTTAGAGGCCTCAAAAGGTCAAAACGTTTTTCGCAGCTCAGTTCAGTCAGTGCTCAAGCAGCCATGTTAGATTTAAGGAGGCTCGCTTTCATTTTAAGATTTTTGACGGGTAAAATCTCTGCTTCTCTTTGGGTCCCATTTGCTTGTCTACCCAGCGTGAGTGTTTAATCTTTTCAGGGCCTTGAATTGGGCTGGTGAAAGAGGCCAGAGCTCTCTCCCGCCAGGGGCCGTGCGGCTCATTCGAGAGCTTTAATCACTGTGCAAACACAGCAGCGCTCCTCCATACACACCTCCACAGAGCCCAACTTTCTCTCGTCCGTTGACGCCCTCCTTCACTTCTCTTGCCGCTTTGCTTTCTGTTTTTCCCCCGTCGGTTTGTCGAGAAATCCCTCCTGCAGGATTCTTCGAGCTGTTGGGGGTTAGAGCTGTAGGAAATGTTCAGAGTTGTTCTGTGATTCGCAGGGTTTTATTCCCCTGCCTTGTCAGGCAAAACCTTTCATGTTTGTGGCGTGTCCGTTTTTTTTTTTTTTTAATTAGTTGTTGGGTTATGCGAGCGACCGCTGTTCATCTGATGGCATAAATATCTATGGATTTGGACGTGCATCGACATCGCCGACGTTGGAAGGAGGGCACTGGCATTTGATGCAAAGCAAATAAAGTGATTTGTTGGGTTTTTGTTTTTCAGAGAAAGTTTGATTTAGTCTGCATCAGTTTGATTTGGTGTGAGTGTTTGCTTTTGCTCGGGGTTTACAGGGAGGGCAGCCGCTGTCTTTTTCTTACCCGTGGACCCAGGAGAAGCATTAGTGGCCTTAAAGCTCCCAGAAAGCCTGATGGTGAATTATGAAATAAAGGTGGATCAGTGAGCTGGGATTAGATGGGTTCTGGCTTCATAGATGGTGAAATGGCCATTGAGGCTTTAGTTTTCATGTCCCTCCCCTGGGATGGAGATTTTTTTTTTTTAATGGCTAAATATCTTTTCACAGCAACTACATTTTTTCATAACAAAAAACCATATACTTTAGTTTTACTGAATAATGTGTTATATTATATTATACTTATTATGTTATATTATATTATATTATATTATATTATATTATATTATATTATATTATATTATATTATATTATATTATATTATATTAAATTATTTTATAAGGGCAGCTCAGTGGTTATCACTGTCACCTCACAGCAAGAAGATTGCTGGTTTGAGTCCCGGCTAAGGATTCCAGAAGACTTTTTTTTAAAGACATTTTTAACAATGTCACCAACAAGAATTGTAGACATCTTTTCATGCATTAACACTAAAAATCTTATTTAATTTATTTATGTATTAACTTGTTTGTTGTTTTTAATTGTATATTTATTGTTAAAATGTTCTTGCCATGAAAATAGCCTTGGCTGCTGACATGGCATTAAATAAAAAATACATTACATTTCATTGAGTCCCGGCTGGGTCAGGTGACATTTCTGTGTGGAGTTTGCATGTTCTCTCTGTGTGCGCGTGGGTTTCCTCCAGGTCCTCCAGTTTCACCCACAGTCCAAAGACATGCGCTATAAGTGAGCTGGATGAACTAAATTGGTCGCAGTGTATAAGTGGTGTGTGAATGCGCGAGTGTATGGGTGTTTCCTAGTACTGGGTTGGGGTTGGAAGGGCATCTGCTGGGTAAAACATATGCTGAATAAGTTGGGCGGTTCATTCTGCTGTGGCAACCCATGACAAATCAGGGACTAAGCTGAATGAAGATGAATGAATATTATATTATATTATATTATATTATATTATATTATATTATATTATATTATATTATATTATATTATATTATATTATCGGATTTTAAGCATAGTTGGAAACCCTTTTAAAAAATTATATGATCTTTCTAATTGCAAGAACCCTAAAAGGCTGGTTAAGAGTTTTTTTTTTTTATCCTAGTCGTGTTAAATTATGAATTTTGTGTCAAGAATGTGTAGCATCCGGTTATGCAAGAAAAATGTCAGATCTATGTCTGGCAATGAAGTCAAGATTTAATTTAATTTTATTTATTTTATTTGTGACTAATGTGTTGCTGCATTTAAATGTTTTGGAGGAATTGTTAGAGAACATTAATGCTATTTCAATGCCACATTTGTTTTAAACATTAATTTGAAGTCATTTTTATGTTATGTTGAAATCTAAATTGATATATTTGGTCACAAATCCTTAAGGGTAATGCATGCAGTAACAGTTGCTTTTCTAATATTCTTCAAAAGCACTAAAACATCATTGTTGACATAGTTAAGGGGCCACAATAATTATTATGAATCTTAAAATGAACAATAATATTATTCAATTTCTTACCCATGCCTAACTGTTTGTATATGTGTTCTTTTAGAGGAAACTGCTGGCCATCTACCTCCACAACGACGAGAGTGTCCTCAGTAATGTGTTCTGCTCTCAGATGATGTGTGCGGACTCCATAGTGTCATATCTCAGCCAGAACTTCATCACATGGGCCTGGGATGTTACTAAAGAAGCAAATAAAGCCAGGTAACACCATTTTTTGCCATCTCCCTTTCATCTCTCTCGTCGCATGCGCTCACAATGGCAGTCAAACCAACCAGAACGATGGGGATCGGAAGCATTTTCACACTCAAAATGGATGATCTCTTAATGAGAGGCATTTCTCCCTTCCCCCCCGCTCCTCTCCTGACTCTCTTCTCATAGAGGGCTTTAACAAAAGATGTCGTGTTTGCTCACTGAGGCCCCGGTAGGGCAATCTGCACTAATCTGCCCAGCTAAAGGGTCAGTTAGACACGCAGCCATCATAGAGGGCACTCTTCAGAATGTCTTCATTTCAGGATGGCAGTAATGGTACGCAGTAACAATGTTTTTTTGGGTTGCGTCTTTGTTCAAATGCAGCTCAAGGCCCTCAGGAGCAAGAGAAATGCACATCCATATTAGCTATAAACATAACAATTTGGTGTTTTAATTAACTTTTTAATTCTGTGGGATTATGTATATACAGTAACAAAAGTATTTACAGTACAGTATTTAGCACAAACGAATGATAATTGTTTGATTTCAGTTTAATCCAAAGGGGAAATAAATTTAACCAAGCAGAACACACATCACATAAAAATGGCATAAAAATACTAATTAAGATCAGTTTAAAAAAGCATGATTTTATTCAGTGCTCAGTTACAAGCTACATGCTTAAATATCTTACAGCTTCAGGTACAAACACCTCGCTGAAGGGCTCTTTTAAACATTTTGTTGGAATTACTTTAAGCAGCTTTAAAGAGCACAAACATGTGTTTGAAAATTACTGCTTTCATTTATTAATTCATTCATTTTCTTGAACGCACAAAACAAGGAGTAAGAGGAAGGGCTAAGGGGTAGAATTGGGATTCGGTCTTAATTTCAAGCCCTGATTAGATTTTATTAAATTTGTTATTTTTGAGTTGATAAGTAAAGAGAGACAGGTGTTTTATGAAGGGAGAGACTTTTTTATTTCACTCAAAAAACTATTATTTTGTTAAAAATCGGTCCATCCTGCCATTGATTGCAGTTCTCAACAGTAGTGGAAAGAGTACTGAAAAATCATACTTAAGAAAAAGTATCATTACTTGCTCAAAAATGAAGTGCAAGTAAAGTAAAAGTATCTGCTGTAAATATTACTTAAAGTAGGAGTAAAAAGTAGCCCTTTTAAAAGTACTCAAGAGTAGTATTACACTGTGAAAAGTTAATGCGTTTATATGCAGTTTTTGCGTGTGTGTGTAAACATTACATTCTGCAGTGCATTTAGTTATTGTTTAAGGCCATTTGATGATTTCTGTCCTCATACAGTCGACATGTTATCATGAAATGCAGTCTAAACAGTCTCTGGGTCATTGTGCGTGACATCTTCTTGGACACTTTCCAAACATGTCTTGAAATTGTTCATTATGATGCAAAATTATTATTATTTGATTGGACTGGAAACACAGAACTGATTTTTCTAATTTAGTCAATCACCATAGACAAGAAATAAAAATGAAGTAGTGACGGCAGGTTGAAGAAAAATAGTGAAGTATAAGTAAAAATACACATTTTCAAAATTACTTATAGTACAATTGTAATTGTAAAAACCTACTCAATTACAGTAGTTTGAGGATTTGTATTTGTTACTTTACACCACTGGTCCTCAACATGTGTTCAGTTCAGAAAGAAAGTTACAGGGGAAGAAGTGGCAATGGTTTTGTATTTAGTCTTTGGTCAAATGCAACTTTTGGCTCTTAGAACCAAGAGAAGCATCCACTCAAAGCGGAGTCTGCAAAACCAGCCGGTCCTGCCCTTTGTCCCCAAATATATCCCAGTTTGCTTCAGGTGGAACCGAAGCAAGCTAAATGAAAAAGGAAAAGAACGGAGAGCGAGGAGCTGGTCAGGCAGCAGATGGATTCTTGATTGGTCCCAGCAGGCTTTGCTTCTGAGCAGGCCTCTACTTTTCCTTCCAGTAGGCTTCACCTTAAAGGCCTCCCTCTGGAGCGGACAGGGATAGAAAGACCAGCGAGTGACCTCCTTCTGCAGGGGCTCCTTCAGTCCGGACCTGCCTCTATACCCCTCTCCCTCCCCTTCTGCTTTTTGCCCCAGCTGAGCCTTTCTACCACAGATTAAAGGCGGGCAACATCTGGGGCTATTCATAAATGCGAACAGAGACACACACACACACACACACACACAAAATTCCACATCCTTCTACCCTGACATACTCATACACACACACATACACACCTCATTCTCACGCTCCTGGGCCAGGCCTGACTGATTGTAGATGGTGGACTGGTGGATGTTTTTCAAAGCTAACTCTGTGAATAAAGCCTGTGAATCGCTAATCGCTGACACCGATTACATAGACTCTCAGCATAATTGTGCATTAATCCTGAGCCCAAATGTAATTAGAGGGAATGTTATTAGCACCCACAGGTGCTACAAGTGCTCTTTGTTGGTGGTATAAAAAAGAAAAAGTTGTAGGTCACAATTTGATGTTCATTCTGCCCATTGATTTTTACAATTAGCTTATTTATTAGCTGTTCTGAATGAACAAAAGCAAGCTGACTTATAATGTAATACTTATTTCTTTTAGTTTTAGATAAATAGGTCAGAATAGAATAGATAAATTAGTTTGTTCATTCTGCAAATGTTATTATAACGTTCAGTCCTGTGTAGCGTGTAAGCACATTCAGTAACTGAATCAAACCCGCGGACGCAACACGAGTGACCAAAATACAGGGAAGACATTGATGCATTGTGTACAGTACTAGCTTATTGTGGCTTTTTTTTAGTTACTGTAGGTATAAACAACAATTCATAACACAGCCAGTTAACTTCAATTTAATCCATTGATGGGACCTAGCAGAGTGTAACATTATTTACAAAGAGAATTTAAATATTCATCTGTACCTCACATTGTACTATTGAATAGCCTCAGGACACTTGGAGTTAAAATAATAATATATTATAATAATAACAATCCTGTCTGCTTGATGCCAATCCTGCCAAAATGTGACACGATCTGGGGTGCATTTCCCAAAATCTTTCATTTCAATGAACATTGGGAAACTGCATGTATATACTTGTGTTGTTGGAGCTATACCTCCTTAAACTTTTATGTTAATTCGTTTTGAATGCAGCTGTGGCTAGTGTAGAAATATAGTTTTTCTGATTTACAATCGAAAATCTGTTACATTTTCCAAAAATATGGAAAATAAAACATACATGTTAAAAGTTTAAATATTAAAAAGTGGACCTACCTGCTATGTATACAGCATTTCTGAGTTTTGAATATAACATCAGAAACTGTAAAAGTAGTTCACATAAAAAACATTACACTTCTGTAGAATGACAGAATTTAAACAAATAAATATATTAAATACTGTTAGTGATTTTTGGACAAAGAATAGTTACAATAGTAGAATCAAATATGGAATATTATCAATGATATTTGTGAAAGGAAGGAATGATTTTGATTATAGTGTTTTAAGCATGCAAGGATCAAGGCAAGCAAACAAGCTAATAGTTTATTGCCAATTAATTATACAGTGAGGGAAATAAGTATCCAGCACATCACCATTTCTCTCAGAAAACATATTTCTAAAGGTGCCATTGATCTGAAATTTTCGCTAGATGTTGATAACAACCAAATGAAGTCATAAATGAAAAGAAAACAAATCTAATTAGTTTACAAAGGAAGTTATGTGTAATAAAATGTAATCACACAGGGAATAAGTATTGAACACATGAAGAAAGAAAGGTGTAAAAAGGTAGCGAAAGCCCAGACAGCAGTTGTAATCTCTCAGAAGTTATTCTGCAACCCTCTGTTCTACTTCAGTGTAAATGAATTTTATTTGCTACAATCCAACATCTACATTACCAGCATGATGAAGATGAATCAAGGGTGGACATTTTATCAAGACAATGATCTAAAACTCAGCCAAGAAAACTCCCAAATGGTTTCAGAGAAAGAAAGTCAAGCTGTTGAATGTTCCAGCCAATCACCTGACTCAAATCCAATAGAGAATACAAAATAAAGATCAGATTTGATTGGTAAAACCCACAAAACTATCAACATTTTTACACTCTGTTGAAGTATGTGGAAAAACTCTCAACTGGGCAATGCATGTGACTTCATTCTTCATATGAGAGTCGTCTATAAGATATGATCTCCAAAAAGTGTTTTGGTAACACTTGTCCCTACATTGTTTATTTTCTGAATGATGCATCGTGCTGTGGTAGTTTAACAAGAAGTTCTGTCAATGTTTGGGAAACACACCCTTGAGTATTGTATCAGTGCACCCTGTACAAAAATCTAGTTATCACTTGATGCAAATCACCAGAAGTATTTAGAAACAATAGAAAAAACGTCAATGCAGTGCAATTGTGTCATTGAAAATCAGTACATAACTTTATTGTCATGTTCACTGTGACGGAGAAACAGTTTTCTCAGCGAGACATTGAAAGAGAAAGAGCAGCGCACGCCCTGTGGCCTCAGCAGATGGTCTGATGCTCCACCACACCTCTGACGGTTCAGGCAGTGGGGAAATATTATGCTTCACACACTCATAAGTGTGTGACTTGTGTGATGGATGAGACGAAAGCATGTCACTCCAATTACAAAGCCGTCCTTGACAAGACGCTTGAAACACCTGGTGTTACTAGCAAGAAAATCAAAAATAACTCCCCCGAGGTCCTTTGAAAACTCTTAACATTCTTCAAGATTTCTTTACGCATCACTGATGTGACAATGAACTGCCAACTGCAATGCCTGATGGGACCGCTGGAAACACAAGTGTTATTAATAAGATGTTTAAACTTTTTTTTGGCAGTGAAGCAGCTGTGGAATATAGTCATCTGTAATACTGCAATGCAAGTTACAATGAAGAAATCCTTCCTGTTGTTAACCTTGTAGCACTTTTTTAGTAGATTAATGATATTAATTAATACATTTTAGGGGAGATCAGAAGTAGCTGCCATTCCCACACAAGAGAGTCCTCATATATATTATATTTACTGCCATTAAGAAAATTGGGGTTTGTAAGATTTGATTTGCTTATTTAAGTTAGATTTGTTTTAAACCCAAGTTAACCATTACTTCAGTCTTCAATGTTACATGATCCTTTAAAAGTTATTTTAATATGCTTATTTGGTGGTCAAAAACATTTCTAATGACTGTTGTAAACAGTTGTTCTGTTTAACAGTATTGTAGAAACGTAAATAAAAAAGTGTTTACCTTTTTTAGAGAGTTTAGAATAATCTATAACTTACCACTCTAACTCATTATCGATGCCAGCAAAATACTTCTCATACTATGTGTACTGTATGTTGCCTTCTATAGTTATTATATGTGAAATGTAGAGAACATTAAACTGTTGGTTTCTACTTTGGCATTTGGCAAGGCTATTTTCCTAAAATTACAAAATTACAATTGTGTGTTGGGCTGCATGACATTGGAAAAATCGAACATTGCGATATTTTATTTATTGTACGATATATAATGCGATATAAGTACAATTTCACTGAATGAGTTGAATAACTATTTGAAAAGAGTTAATTGTTTTAGATTGATATATTAATATTGTTTTAGATTGATTTAGATTGATATATAAGAAACAGTTTACTAGTGTAGATAAATTCAATAAGGAAAAAGATTTCAATTAGATAAACAGCGTTTGATTGTTTTTTTGATGAGTCAAACTGTATTCAGGTGTACAGTAATTGAATAATTAAATGTAAAATAATACTGCATAGTCTTTGTTTTATTAACTATTCAATCATTATGCATTTGTCAAAGTTGCAAACAGAACAATTTCTTAGGCCTGAATCCTTTTAAAACCCTCACACAGTCACAAGTCTTAAAAACAATTGCGAAATGAAACTGTCCATCTGCTCAATCATCACATGGCAGCAACGCAATGCATTTTGGCATGTAGACATGGTCAAGACAATTAGTTGCAGTTCAAACCGAGCATCAGAATAGGGAAAAAAAAGGTGATTTAAGTGACTTTGAACGTGGCATGGTTGTTGGTGCCAGACGGTCTGGTCGAGTATTTCAGAAAATGCTGATCTACTGGGATTTTCATTCACAACCATCTTTAGAGTTTACAGAGAATGGTCCGAAAAAGAGAAAATATCTAGTGAACGGCAGTTCTTTGGGCGCAAATGGCCTGTTGATGTCAGAGGAGAATGGCCAGACTGGTTCCAACTGATAGGAAGGCAACAGTAACTCAAATAACCATCGTTACAACCGAGGTATGGCGACCAGGATAACGCGCCATGTCATAAAGCACGAGTCATCTCAGACTGGTTTCTTAAACATGACACTGTACTCAAATGGCCTCCACAGTCACCAGCCTCAATTCAATATTGCACCTTGGGATGTGGTGGAATGGGAGATTCACACTATGGATGTGCACACCTTGGAGAGCAGCAACTGTGTGATGCCAACATGTCAATATGGAGCAAAATCTCTAAGGAATATTTCCTGTACATTGTTGAATCTATGTCATGAAAGATTAAGGCAGTTCTGAAGGTAAAAGGGGTCAAACCTGGTACTAGTAAGGTGTACCTAATAAAGTGGTCGGTAAGTGTATTGTGCAGCCATATTTGTGTGTAGAATATCCATAACTTATCTAACTGTAGAAATTGTCAAGATAAACCCAATTGATCAAAAGTACATTGTTTTACTGTATGCAGTCAGTGTTTTCAGAATGACCACTACATACATTTCCCATACTACATACAGTTTCTTAATTAATATGAATGCCAGTTTAAACATATATCAAATCTATAAAGTGCTCACTCATCTCTGATAATAGGGTGAAATTTGATTTGGAAAAAAAATTCTTCAATTTTTCTTTTCCTCCCTCCCACGCTGGCCATGGCCCCTTCACTCGAGTGTGTTCCATCCATCCTCTATTTTACTTTCCGGATTATTAAAGCCCATGTTATTAAAAGAAGAGAGAAGCTAATCTATATTTGCATTCGCTCTATAGCAATTCATTAATATTATGACATTTACTGCGAGCTCTCTGAATCTGGCTGCTACCCTTTTCCTTCAGCGAAACGTTAATTTAAAGTTCTGTCTTTGTAATGGAATAAGAAATCCTCTTTGCCCTATCAAATTCGGCGCGGCAAGAGCAGAATACTAATTCAGACCAGGGGAGTTGTTTGGAGAAGGACCATCCTCGGAGCGGAGGGCAGAATTGCTTTTAAAGTCTGTTAATATGATGAGCTGTGTACTCTTATTAAGCTCAGTGATTGTTCAGGGAAGTTTCACTGCCTGTCTGTCCACTGTCCACTCAAATAACTCAGTCTCTCTCTCTCTCTCTCTCTCTCTCTCTCTCTCTCTCTCTCTCTCTCTCTCTCTCTCTCTCTCTCTCTCTCTCTCTCTCTCTCTACATCTATCCATTCATTTATCCATCTATCCATTCATTTATCCATCTATCCATTCATTCATCCATTCATCCATCAATCTCTTTTTTTCTATCTGAAGTGAAGTGATGTGTTAGAGAAGCTTTAGTGTGGAAATTAGGCATTGGATGATAACCGGTTTGAAGGTTTACCACAGTTTGGAAAAGTCAAGATTTTAAAACCTCCAAAATTTTCTATTATACTATTCCTACTGTATATGTAAGTTTTTTTATGTGTGTTTTTAGGACTATTTTTTTAAATACTTTATTGTTTTTTAAACATTCAAACACAAAGACTTTACAAATTTGGTCCAACAAACATTCAACCAACAATAGACAAAAAAGCATAAGATATACAAACAATACATACAGATGTGAAATAATAATAGATAAATACAATAATAAGAAGAATAAAATACAAAATAAAAGTAAATAATAGGAATAAAATAAATGCAAAAAATAAAACAAAATACCTTTAGTTTTAATCAAAATTTTGTCTAATCCTCTCCAATTTAAATATTTCCTGCAGAGTTTATGTCTTTAAAATAATTCATAAAAGGTTGCCATATTTGATAGAATTTGCCTGTTTTCTTTTTTAGGGAGAATCTTGATTTTTTTTTTTCTAGTTCCAAATGTTAACTACATCCCTTATTAGATTTATATATGTTGGAGCCGCTTTCTGTTTCCAGTTAAATAATATTAACCTTCATGCTAGTAGAATGACAAATGGATTGACATTGTGTACTGTATTGAACTGTTTTAGCTCCAAATCAGTAATACCTAGAAGTGCAATAAGGTGATCTAGATCTATCAGCTTTTGACATGTTCTTGAGAATGTTAAAAAAATATTTTCCCAGTAAGATGATCATTTTGGGCTGCTCCAAAACATATGAGTCAGTGATGCCAGTTTTTTTCACTACTTTTATGATTTTATTTAGTTTTTTTAGGGCAACACTATCCATCAGGCTAATCACTATTCAAGAAACATCTAAACAACATGCACCAACATCCAAGCATGCAATAGACATGAACAGTGCAGTGGCTTACTTTATTTTATATCCAATGAAACAAAAAATACTCAAAGACACCTTTTAAATAAAGAAAGCTGTGTTTTTGAAACTTATGTGAATAGCAGAAGTCAATGATTTTTTTTTATAAATAATTATTTTAATTATTTAGCCCGACATGTTTACTGTTCCAAAATATTTTAAATGTTTTCTTAAAATCAAATATATTGTGTTCAATGGAGGAAAAAATATTGTTTTTAAAAGAAGAATATGACATTTTAAAAGAACAAATTTTAGAGCAGCAGTAACAATTATATAGTGGGCCATGCTTAGTGAAGCTTAGTGCTTAGCATGCTGAGTTTTGTCCATTTATTTGCTTCTGTGAATTGTTTTTTGTTAAATTGTTTCGTAAAGTGATATGTTTTGAGAAATAGTACATATTAAAAAGTCTTTCTCTGTCTTTCTCTTTTTAGACTACTCACGATGTGTACAAGGCACTTTGGCAGCGTTGTTGCACAGACCATTCGGACATACAAGACTGACCAGTTCCCATTACTTTTAATAGTCATGGGCAAACGGACATCAAATGAAGTTTTAAATGTCATTCAAGGTAAATTCAATATGTTAATGAACTACAGATAAAATATACTTAATCGAGTTAAATTTGAACAGCTTTATAGATTTCAATTAGGCTCTTAGCCGTGTAATCTATGAAAGAACAAATTGATCAAAGTTTATAACTTAAAACTGTTTATAACTAAATTGTTGTTGTATTTTGTGATTCACAAGTGTATTCTGTTTATTTACTGTTGTGAAGTGCATTATGGGACCTTGATCTCTGCTCTGTTGACTTTTGATGTTGAAAATTTAACTCTACAGTTTAACAAAGTGACTTTTAGTTTTAATTTTTAGTTGTTTAAAGTAATATAATGTGTAAGGAATTATATGTAGAAAAATAAGTCTGTGAAATAACAGAACATGTACTGTCAGCTAATTACAAGGCTTTTGTACTATAGTAAACAACGTTAACCCAGACAATATATACCTTTAAACTATTAAAAATGTAAAAAAAAAAAAAAAAAAAAAGTCACATTTCCTAACTTTTCATGGTTAAAATTTTTTGGTAGAAAGTTTACAGTCCCATAACGCAATTAAAACTGGGAAAATAATTAAAAACACTAACAAAATGCAGAAAACTGCTCATTTGCATATATATTTACAGTTTAGGTTCAGTAGTTCCATGTCTATGGTGAAAAATAGGTTCCTTTCATTGCCTTTAAAGTGACAATACTGAATATAAACATTGGAGGCTGAGAAAAATGCTTATTTTAGAAGAACATTTTTGACAACACTATTACATCTATTTGCATCTGAGCTCTTCGAATGTATTTTTAGCATTACTTGGTGTTATTAATTCATAGTCTGACACTGTATATCTCGTATTATGATTTAGTTGTGAATGATGCTGTGAAAATAGTGCAACGTAATAAGTGAACTAAAATCTGATTTTTGTATATTTTTTGATTGTATGATTAAGGCAACACAACAGTGGACGAGCTTATGATGAGACTTATGGGAGCCATGGAGATATTCACTGCACAGCAACAAGAAGACATCAAAGATGAGGTAAGAGAACTCCAAATAGACATACAGGCTAAATTCAAACAAAGCCAGAGCTTTCCCTATCCAATCTTTTTATCTTTAAAAAAAAAAATATCTGCATTTAATCGAAACCACTGAAGCCAACTAAAAATGATGTATTTTTCATGTCACACCAATATGTAGCACTGCAATTCTCCCACAAAGATACACAAAAAGCTTTTGTAGCAGACATAAAACATTGTGTCTAAAACAATCTGTTATGAACACGTTATGTAGTCCACGATTATTGTTTTCGAGACGTGAGCTGGTGACATCATAATGTAACAAAATATACACATTGGCTGTTCACATGAAACTCCAAGGGTGTCGTTTTTAGATTTATCCACTCTAAAAACCCAGCTTGAAAAAAGTAGTAGTTTTACTCTCCCAAATGTACGATACAAAATATTCCATACAAAGTTTTTGCATATACAGTTAAACACATATTCACTGGGACAAGGCCTGTGCACAACATATTATAATAAAATGACTGAATCTCATGGCTTCTTTTTATATTAAAAAAAATCTTCAGAATCCCATTATCAAATCTTTTCTAGGCAGCGTTTTAAGGTCTCGTTGACAATATTTCTTAAACTATTCATTAATACTATCTCCTAGTTTACATTCATTAATTTAGCAGATGCTTTCATTCAAAGTGAGTTAAATGAAAATTGGGTCCCACTTTATATTAAGTGGCCTTAATAAACTAATAGTTTGTTACAATGTACTTATTGTGTAAATACATGTATTTACTGTGTACTTATTCTTGATTAAATACATGTATGTAATTACATCTGTAATTAACTTTTGTTATTACATTTGTAAATACACTGTTGACCATCCCTTACACCTTAACCCACCCTTAAACCTACCCATGCCACCAAACCTGTCCATAACCCAACCTCTATCCCAACTCAAAAGCACCACAAGTGTTCTCAAATACATTATAAACACAGTAAGTACATTGTATTTATTTTTTTGATGTAAGTACATAGTAGTTAAGGACAATTAATATAAAGTGGGACCGAAAATTGCAATCTATGTGTGTTGTAACAAGTCTATGTTAGTTGTAAGAAGGTGTCTGGTCCATATAGAGAGAAAGAGTTTTTTCTTACAGGTGATTTGTCAAGCCAAACTTGTTAACTTGCATGAAGCACTCAGAAATGCACATTTTTTTCTCAGAATTTTGAAGTGTTTATAAGAATTTGTCTAGTGCATATGCACTACCTGGCAAAAATCTTGTTGTTGATCCCAGTTGTAAGTGCAAAAAATAAGAACTTGACTTCTATTTGATCATTTGGAAAAGTTGCAGAAGGTAGATTTTTCAGATGAATCATCTGTTGAACTGCATCACAATCATCACAAATACTGCAAAAACCTTATTGGAACCTGCATGGAGCCAAGATTCTCACAAAAATCTGTCAAGTTTGTTAAAGGAAAAATTATAGTTTGGGGTTACATTTATTATGGGGGCGTGCGACAGATCTGCAGAGTGAATGGCAACATCAACAGCCTGAGGTATCAAGACATTTGTGCTGCCCATTACATTACAAACTACAGGAGATGGCAAATTCTTTGGCAAGACAGCACTCCTTCTCATACTTCAGCCTCCACATCAAAGTTTCTGCAGGCAAAGAAGGTCAAGGTGCTCCAGGATTGGCCAGCCCAGTCACCAGACATGAACATTATTGAACATGTCTGGGGTAAGATGGAGGAGAAGCCATTAAAAATGAGTCCAAAGAATCTTGATTAACTCTGGGAGTCCTGCAAGAACGCTTTCTTTGCCATTCCAGATGACTTTATTTATAACTTAGTCATTGCAGAGATGTAAGAATGCAGTTGTCCATGCTCATGGAAGTCATACACAATATTCATTCTTTTTCCACGTTAGCATGACTTTATATTCTATACGGTACATTACTTCTTTTAAGTAACAAAACCTTTGTATAAGCACAGGGGGACTTTACTGTCCTAATTAAAAACCAAGGTATGATCTTATTTTATTTTGGTAAAATAAGTGTAATCTAGAGGCCTTTGCCTTTCATATAAGCCACTTCTGATACCAAATGATCAACTAGAAGTCAAGTTATTATTTGTTGTTCCTAAAACTTGGATAGGCGACAATACTTTTGTCACGTAGCTTAGAGAGGTAAAGGTTGTTTTCTTACAGGCAGTTTGTCAAGCCCATTAACCTGCGTGAAGCACACTCAGAAATATAAAATGTTTTCTCAGAAATATGGAGTGTTTAAAGATATATATTTATAAAAAGTCTCTGGTGTGTTGATCAATGTAGTCAATCTTGTGATCTATTTTGACAAATACTACTACTAATGAAAATCTGATAATATCACATATCTTGTAATGCACTATGGCAGTCACTGATGAGCACAGAGAGGTGGCTTTTTATTAGGCTGATTCAAAGTCATATATAGAGTCACAAAAAGGGGCATGTTGGGACAAATGACCACTCATTGTCTGACTCATACGAATCGCCCCTCACACAGGGTTAAGAATAGACACTCCGCCCGTGTCTGTGTTTGTCTGGGATTCAGACAAACTGTGGAAGCGAAAGCACAATTCGGCTGTGTAACGTAAGCTTGCGGTGGCCTGCACTTATGAAGTCGACACAAAGCTGGCAGGATGTGAATTCAACGTGTCATGTCTGCATGTGGCTTGCGATTGTTTAAATCAATGCTAGTCTGCAAACAAAGAGATAAAACAAAAATATGTTCTCTTTTTTTAAAAGGGATAGCTCACCAAAAAATAAAAATGTACTCACTATTTACTCAAACTCAAGTGGTTTTAAACGTTTATGAGTTTATTTCTTCTGTTGAACACAAAGGAAGATGTTTAAAGAAAGCTAAAAACCTGTAACCATTGACTTCCATAGTAGGAAAAACAAATATTATGGCAGTCAATGCTTACAGGTTTCCAGGATTCTTCAAAATGTCTTCCTTTGTGTTTAAAAGAAGAATGTAACTCAGACAGGTTTGGAAAAAGTGAACAAATAATGACATAATTTTTATTTTTAGATTAACTTTCCCTCTAAATGAATTGGCAAGACATTGAGGAGGTTATTTTTAATATTGGAGCGACTTCCAAGGCAACATTACCTTTCTGCCTAATTAAAAACACTGTTAATGTTTTTTTTTGACATGCCACATTCTCATGACAGGTCTGTCCACGCTTGCTATGAGTTCTGCTAATTAGTTGTCTGTCCTCACCTGTGTGTGTTAATGATTTTTTTCTGTGGTGGGAAATATTCAGACAGCAAACACAGGTTACTGTCCCCCTGAGGCGCATTCACTCAATGATTTGATAAGTTGTGACATTTCTTGCCTCGTCCCAGCATTCTCTGTTCTGTTCGCACCCCTGCGTGACATGCTTTAAATGATTATCAGTCACAAAAAGCAACAGAAAATATTTATGCTATGTCATAACTGCGATTAATTCTTGCCATTGTCTCAGTGTGAGAACGGCTACCGGCTAAACTCAATGTGTTTAGCTCCTAGCTCGAGTGGGTTGTTTTTCTGGCTCGGGAATAATTTCCGTTAAAAACGTTATTTTCGATTTTGTATCTGTTCCATTAGATCCATTAGGCGGTGCAATTTCTGCTTCCTTCGTTCAGAGCGCTTGAATAATTTTGACACATTGATGGATTTCTGCTGGAAGCTGCTTGACGGTTTGCTCCTCATGGCAATTAATGGCTGTAATCTGTTTGGCTGTGAAGGAAATGCGATGTGAATGGACACAAATAGGCAGCCGATGTTATGCCAGAGGAAATGCAGAGGAGATATTTTGCACTTTCTGTAGTTCACACATTTGGCTTTTAGCTGTGAGGGGAGGCGACAGGGTTTTTCATTCATTTGTTGTTCACTGAAAAATTGTTCTTTAGTTTTACACATTTCATTTTACTCTCAAAGTTTTTATGATTAATTAGATTTTACATTAAATTAGATTTCAAACTACTCAACTGCTTTTTGGTCTAGCTTTGGTCTAGCAAGAGTCCTTTACTGTAGGTGCATTTGACAACATGTTTTGTGAGTCACAGTTAATTTACAAACTGATTTATTGGACTTTTTATTTTAATGTGTTTGAGTAAAACAGGTTTTATATGTAAACTATCATTGATAACGTTTACATAGACACCAATAATTCAATTTTAATACAATTAAGACAGTACTCTGATTAAGAGTCGACCATGTAAACAGCGAGTTTTGAGTAATTTAATCAGATTAAGTTCATAATCGAACTAAACAGAAATGGAATTAAGACATGTGGAGTATGCCGATTTTAGTCACAGTATTAAAGTGCGGTACAGACACGCAAACACCTTAAACAAACTGTTATCGTTGTGTAGGACTTTTCGCCGCATTTTGCGACAGGATATTCCATACACGGCTGTTCGACACTATTCTTTGCACCTAACGAGTCAGTGAAGAACCCCAGACACACACGGTGAAATGTGGAAGTTTTTTTTCTTCCATTCGGCATGTGGTTCCATTACATCACTCATCCAGCAGTTCATTGTCACATCCAATATCTCATTTGTCATGGGGGGCATGCATGAAATGTTCCTGAATGAAAGTGAAAGTACCAAACTGCAGATAAAGTCGACAAATTAAAAATGAAACACCCAAAATTACATGAAACTCCGGAGGAAATGTGGATAGCGTGGTGAGGCAAAGACGTTAATTAAATTATGTGCTATGACATGTAAAACAGGATCACAAAAGAAACATTCAAATAGCAACTCATGTAAACACTTTTATCTTATTATTAAAAATGTCATTGACAGTTTTTTTTAAAGATTTTATTTTAATAAAGAACAGGTCTTTTCATTTTAATTGCACAATTTTTGTTTTTTTTCCATGATGACAATACATAATATCTTACTATTTATTTAGCAAGATACTAGTATTCAACTTAAATTGCAATTTAAAGCCTTAATTATGTTAATTATGTTAATTAGGCAAGTCATTGGA